AAAAAAAAAAATGTCCTGGCTACTGATAGTAAGAGCTTACAAATAATTTTGGTAAGTGTGAGAATTGTTCATCTCCTACAGATATACACGGAAATAATTACAGATGAAATGGTAAACAAATAATTTGCTTTAAAATAATTAGGAGTAGGAGATCAGAATGGATAGGGATAAAGATGAAAGTAAATTTGCATGTGTTCACTATTCTTGGAACTAGGTAATGGGTACATAGAAGTATGTTATTTCACTAGTTGGTTTGGTTTTTATGCAGTGCTTTGAATCAAACTCAGTCCCTGATAAATGAATGCTAGGCAAGTCCTCTACTACTGAGCTACACTTACATCCTGCTTGAACCTTTCTATATTTGAAAGGTACAAAAATAAAAAAAACCTTGACCTATTAAAACAGTAGACTCCTAATATACACCTGTAATAACAACAGACTTAAAAGCTGAATCCTCTTCCTTGTGGTACTGGGTATGGAATCCGAGGCTTTGCAACATGCTAGGAAATCATTTTACCAATAAGCTATGTTCCTAGACTAGAATCCCCTTCCTATTAACACTGCCTTATCTAATTTCTCTGCCACTTAATACACTTGAAACTGATTGTTTTGTCACTTACTCTTTAATCTCAACTCATTCTGCCATGTTTACTAATTTTATGAGCTTAAGGAAGATTTTAAATCTCCAAAAGGGAAGAATGGAACATCCGTATTTGCCAGTCTACTTAACTTGCCAAAAGGATTATCTAAGATTAAAAAACAAACAAAAATCCAAAGCTAGATAGTCATTCTAGAAATGCATGTTCATAAACTTCATCTTCAGCACTTGTAGTTCTCCCAGTTCTAGACCTTCTAGAAGTGCCTTACACTGCTAGTTCCTTGAGCCCTCTCCTCATCAACCCAAGTAGTATAAGATTCTTCCTCTCCATCACCTCCATCCCCATTTAACTATTTCCCATGCCAACACGTCTCCACAGGACATCTTCACCCATCTCCCCTCAGGACTTTCAAGCACCCACTCAATCTGCCCCCAGGCAATATTTCCCAGGTCCTGTCTTTGCAGGACAACCTTTCCCCTTTTCGGTCCTTGGATCCATTTTATCACCTACCATCTCCAAATCCCACTATTACCTCCAGTTCACCAACACCCACCTTTTATCCTTCACTTAAAACAGTCAATCCATGGAGACAGAAAACAGACAGCTGCAGAAGCTGGGGGCGGGGGGAGGGGCGGTGAGGGAGAGGGCTTGAGCAGTGACTAAAGGGTAGGCGCCTCTTTTGGAGGCATGCACACGTTCTGGAACTGGTGGGGTTGCACGATCATGTGAAACAAAAAAATAATAAAAAAACACGGAGTTGTACTTTTTTAGTGTGGATTTTATAGTATGTGAATTACATCTCAATAAAAACGTGTCTGTCCACACACAAAACACCAGTGCTCACCCAGCCCACCGTCACACGCCCATTTGTCAAATTAACATCGCCCGTCTCCGGAAGCATCGACTCGCCCCCTCGGGTATCCCGCCAATCCCACGCCCAGACTCGAACCCCGAGCTGTCCACGGTGGTCTAACACGCCCCCTCGACACGGCCCGCAGGGGCTGGGGGAAGGCCCGCGCGGCAGCCCAGCACGACCGCCCGGGCAGTCCCCTCGGGGACCAGACCGGCCCCGCATCTCGGAGGCACCGTCCAGGGGCAGGGGCGGGGGCGGGACGGGGCGGGGCGGGACGGGGCGGGGGCGCCGAGCCCACCTGTGTCAGCCTGCGGGGAGCTCCGCGTCCAGCCCCGCGGACGGCGGACTGAGGACGGACGGGAGTGCAGAACGTCAGAGAAGCGAGGTCGCGCTGCAGACCGGGTGGCGAACGCCGGTTCAGGCCTCCATGTTTCCACGTCTCTGCGACTCCGGCTCCGGCTCCGGGCGTGACTGGGCTCTGGCCGAGCTCCAGTCACGGCCCGCGTAGATGCGGAGGCCGGGAGGCGGGGAGAGAAGAGGGAAGCGACCGAGAACGCGGCTAGAGACCGAACGGCCGGGCGCATGCCAGTGGGCGGCCCCGCGGCGCGCCGTGCGCCGGGCTTTCTGGGAAATGTAGTCCATCGGGCGTTGCTAGGCGGTTTCCATCCTCCTTGTCTCCCGGCAACCTCCAAGCCACGTGGCAAAGTTACAAGCTGCAAAATCTTCTTCCTCTCAGATGCTAGAGTGCCTTAACTTTATTAGGACCCCTGTTACTTCCAGCTGAATAACCATCCCAGAGCCAAGTAATTCCTTATGGGTCTCTGAGCAATTGAGAAAGGAAAGTAAATATTCACGGAGGCAGCTGGAAGGTTTAGACCTGCCAGCAATATAATGGAGACAGACCCTACAGGAAGAAGAATCAGTTGAAGGTTTCTGTTGGCTTGTTTGTTTTTAGTCTTTGGATATAAGACAGGGTTTTGTGCATGCTGTGCACTTGCTCTACCAACTGAGCTAAATCCTTAGCCCAAATTATGAAATAGTAGTCAAATGAGCTGAAGTTACCAGATTGACATCTTGAGCAATACTTTATCTCTTCTAATCAGTTTCTTCTGAAGATGATTGCTGAAGACATAGTATTGATAATCATTCATATTATGGGTTGTTTTCTACTTCCTATGCAATATTACTATGGTTATTTCCCCAAATAACACTATGAAACAGCTATCACTATTTTTTATTTATTTTTGTCGGTCATGGGGCTTGAATTCTGGGCTTGGGCACTGTCCCTCAGCTCTTCAGCTCAAGGCCAGCGCTCTACCAGTTGACCTCAGTGCCACTTCTGGTTTTCTAGTAGTTTATTGGAGATGGGAATCTCATGGACTTTCCTGCCCAGGCTGGCTTTGAACCGCGATTCTCAGATCTCAGCCTCCTGAGTAGCTAGGTTTACAGGCGTGAGCCACTGGCACCTGGCAGCTATCACTATTATTTCCATCATATAGTCAATATGTGCCAATGTTCTGTGTAGAGTACAAATACAGATAGTAAATATTCTACTCCAATATCAACTGCCAGTAAATTCACTGAAGTTGAAGAATTAGAACAGAAAACATATAAAATGCAAGTTACCTGAGAACCTAACAAACAGAAGTGGGCTCCCTAGGAAGGTGAGTGAGGATAAATGTAATAGAAGAAGATTATTTGCATGTATGAAAATAGAATAATGGAACCTATTGGAATTGTTTTAGGAAGGAAGGAAAGACAGGAGATTAATTGAAGGGGTGAAATTGACTGGAATACATTTTATACCTATGGAAATACCACAATGAAATCCTCTGATTTCTTTCACTTTTTAAAGTTTCCACAGCCTCCCAAAAGCCCTATAGTCTGAGGGTTAAATCTTTAACCTGTGGACCTATAGGGGATATTTTAGAGTCAAATCATAACGATCAGCTTTAAATTAGGGATATTTTGCCACTATTCTTTGGCAAGTTTCATAATGTTGCTAAACATCCATATCATTCAGAGGATAAAATGAGAAATGGTTTTAGTAGTATAGGAAGCTTGTTGGAATTATAAGTGGAGTTATAGCTAACGTAAAAAATATTATTCTTGCTTACCAACTTTCAATACTAACTGTAGAAGTATGTTGATAAATTTAATAAACTTGATGACTTCAGTGTTTAGGTACTGCAGAAACACAGTTTCATGAAAACTTTCCACAAATTGCAATGAGATACTTTGGATTGGATCCTGGAATCAACAAAAGCAATATGCTGGAGGCAGGTCTCCAATGGTAGAGTGTGCCAGCTGAACAATCATGAGGCTATGGTTGAGGACTGTTGAAATCTAAACAGAGCATTGCACCAGTACTCATTTCCTAATTTTGACAAATATGCCTTTGTTATGTTACTGTTAAGATGGAAGATGGTAAGAGACTAGGAACCTGGTCCTCTAGTTGTGTGGGGAGGTGGTGGGGAATCACATTACCTTCTAGAGCCTCTAGAGACATACATACACAGCCTTACCGTACCATTTTAGTCCAATGAGTCCATAACAGACTTCAGCAGACTACACAAGTATAATACTTATGTGCTTTGATAAGCCACTATATTACTAGCTGTGTGTTATAACAGCAACAAAATCACATTCAAAAAAATTTAAGTATAGGTCTGGGAAGGTAGCTCAGTGGTAGAGTGCTTGTCTTGCATGCATGAGGCCCTGGGTTCAATTCCTCAGCACCACATAAGCAAAAAGAATAAAGCCAGAAGTGGCGCTGTGGCTCAAGTGGTAGAGCGCTAGCCTTGAGCTGAAGAGCTGAGGGACAGCGCCCAGGCCCAGAGTTCAGGCCC